AAGAGTGCAGTGGGTGGGTTAGATTAGAACCCAACACAACTCCATATCTTCTCTTTGCCTCAATGTGATTCCTCTCCTCTGTCTTTCTCTCTTCCTCTCCTTTCTTTCTTTCTCTAGATCATCATCTCCCTCATTATGCTTCTTCTCTCCAGTGGTACATTTTAACTACACACACTACACATGCACAGCACAAGTAAATGCACACAAACCTACAAATACACAGACAAAATAAATGAAGGCTATGCCAATTCTATCCACAGTTATGTCATGTTTCCCTCCCTCAAATTAATGTATTAATATCGGCCAAACATTACCACAACGGAACGTAACCATTGGAGATGAGAGAGAATGGATTTCGAATACAACCAGAGAGCTTTTTGCAGGTTTGGAGGAAAAAATCCTAAAAAGTTTGAGATGCTGCTCCTGTTCTAGGTGTGTATCCTTGGTTTATGTCAAGCATGTTTCTGATCCAGAAAAAAGAGAAATTTTAGGCTAGCTGTACATATCTAGTGTTTCATTATTTTCCCTAGAATAAAAGATAAACAGATGGAAAGAGTAGGGCACGCAAAGAAATGATAAAGAGAACGGCGAAAGCCTCATATATACTACGGCCCTGTCATGTGCTGCTGCCATCATAAGGTGACCCGTGGAGGTATGCCCCCCCATTGGTGTGACAGGTGACCTATCTTAAAAAATAAAAAATAAGAAAAAAAGAAAGATAAGAAACAATGGGTATCGTTGTTCGTCCAAGTGGTCATGTCCCCACCTATTCTCTCCATCTTGCTACGTGGCCCTTTCCTTAACCAAAAAATAAATTGATTAGTAAATTGAAATGGGAAAAAGAATGGAGATATATTTCAAACCCCAACGCATTCACGCCAAAATTACTCAACAAGTCTTTCCATTGCATGTGTTCATGTTCGTGTGTATGTTTATGGCATTCAGATTCATGTATATTGATTTCTCCCAACAACTTGCATTTAATGATGTAATTTCAAGAAACTACAAATTAGACTTTTGGGAACAAGAAAGTAGTACATTGAGATTTATATGTGTTTTTGAAATTACCAATAGACTTATATAATGAAAGTTTTAAAGAATTAGATGCACAAAAATTTTGATAGTAACCCATTTTAACAATATTCATGAAATGCACCCGATCATCGTGCGAAAAAGTTGGATATGAAATTTGCAAGTATCGAGCTCCACATTGTACAAAAGTATGCAAGTATTGATCCACACATTTTGAAAATAATGCAACTATTGATCCACACGATCCTACATTAGCAATGTATCAGACTGAGAGACTATATGGAACACAAATCTCATAGTTAGACTAGGGTTTTCAAAGTATTCCCTGGCATTTCAAGTTCATATTGGCATTATTTCTCCCAAAATTAATTTAGAAAACAGCAGCTTGATGTCTTGCTAAAAACAAACTATTGCATTCTTTCACCTCGCAGGCTGCATCATTACACTTTTATGGTTCTCAATTTAGGTATAGGATGCCCAACAACTATCAAATATATTTGGTAACCGGTAAAAGAAAAAGGGAAAAGAGTAATACGGATCCTAACATCTAGTTACCAATGAAATTACACTGGCCTACTTTGCTGCAATATAATGGGCACTAGAGAATTAATAAAGAAAACTTGGACATTATACTATTAGTCACCACAAGCTAAGAAGCTATTGAAAGGAATAAAATTAAGAAGGTTATGTCACATCTATTATAAGGCTTTTAGATATTCATCAAAAACAACTAACATTTTGCACTATGGGCAGTTTGAAACAGCTTGCAAAAGGTTTGTAGTAGACGAATATATCATATAAATCTCTCATGAAGAGAGGCATCTCTACCTGACGTGCCAATAAAAGGCCACCTAAAGAGAAATGGTCCAATGAGGGCAACCGCAACAGACAGAGCTACAACAACCTGGCTGTATCGTTCACCAAATTCATCAAGCCACCTCTGCAACTTTGGCTTATTAAGTTGTGCCTCTTCCGTCAATTGAACAATCCTAGCTAGCGTTGACTCTTCCCAAGTCTTCGTTGCCTAAGCCATTTATTAAGGGAAGCAAACCATGAGAAATCACAAAGACAACGAAAGAAACTAAAAGCAATTGCATAAACATCTTCAACAATCTTCAAGAAGACAGCAGCTGATACAAAACTTGAACTATGAGAATTTGATTAATCAGGAATTCGAACTCATTTGTTCAATTATGACTATGAGAAATAAATTTATTAGAAAAACCTAAGTAGTATATAGAAAAGATAAAGGCTGCAGTTTATTGCAAATGAAATCCAAGAGCCTTCAATAACTGCAATATTTATCGGTAGATGGTCAAAGAGGCATTGAAATATCTCTTATCATGTTCATAGGATAATAAATATTAGAAAGACTTATAATCACATTTAGTCATCATTTCAATAATGGTTGGGCATTAGCATTCTGGAACAGCAGGCCATGTGAATCTTATGGTTAGTTTAATGAAAAACAAAAAGCCTATCTCCAGGTTATATATTTCATTCAATATTCAAAAACCTAATACTTTTTTGTTTTTTTTTTTTGGAGAATGTTTTCAAAACCATGTACTATTATGATTTTATTTATTTAATTTGATTTCGTTAGTGTTGCAGATGTTTAAATGGAATAACAAACAACTGGAGTTGACAAGAAGTAATGCATGCTTTGGCTGGTTTCAAGAAGAGGTTCTCCAGTACCTTCATAGTTTTAGACGCATATGGCCTTTCAAGGCCTCGATCGTCCTTGTATGCTTAATCACATATAGGGGATTTTGACTCCAATGGGAGCATGCGACCCAAAGGGGACACAATTTTGGGTGACTCAGCGAGCATAGGCCGTCTGAGGCTTGGGAGTGTAAGAATTCGAAGTAAGAGAAAACATAGGCCCATGGGGATCAGGCTTAAAGCCTAAGCAAGCACGATAAGGGTTTGGGGTCATCCCTTGGCCAAGGTTAGAGATATCCCTATGGTTCGGCTGGACGTTAGAGTGGAACCTTTGCTTGTGGAGGCTAGCCTATGAGAATGAGGGCTAAAGCCTCGACATTGGCCTCCCCACAGCATGTTCATATGACAGGTGCAATAAGGGAAGCCTCCTTCCCCCGGGGAAGCTCCCAAGAGAGCTGTGTACATATGCGTGAGAGTGGAATCATGCATTCGTGTGTAGTGTTAGTACTTGTCCTTAGGGGTACATCCGATAACGGTTAATAGGGTTATCCTTGATGAGGTCGGAGTTTCCTACGGTAGTGAGCAAGAGATTGTGTGACCCTTGTATGTGATTGGTAGGCCTGTAGGAATGAGGGTGAAAGCTTCATCTTAGCCCATCACATGGCATCTATATATGATAGCCATGTCGGGAAGCAAATCACCACTAAGGTTTATACGTGTACATATGCAAGAGATAACCCCCATATGCACCATAGCGTTGTGTGTACACAGGTCTATGTGACCTTGGACTTGTCCCTAGGGGGAACTTGTAATCCATAGACTAGGATTGTATCCCCCTCACCTATAGGCTGACTTTGATCGCCCAATCATGAATCCCTATAATGGTCAGCGGGTCATGGGAACTACTGTTAGTTTGAGAAAATGGGTGTGAATTATAGTCCATAGTAGAAGATGAAGTGCTTTAACAAAATTAATATTTTCTTAACATAGTTGGATCAAAATCCCATAAAATTCATTTAGAATTAATTAATTTGACCTTAAATTATTTTTAGATTAATAGAATGAATTTTAAGAAGTCTCAAGATATTTTATTTTCTCAAAATGGATTTATAAATTGTCTAAAACTGAATTTTCAGTATTTTAAATAAGGAAGGTTTTGAAAATTAAAGAGAAATGATTTTCTATTAAAGCATGTGTAAGAGATTTCTGGAAAAGAAAGGAATGTCTAATACATTTTTTATATTATTTTTATTTAATGGGATTAGGTTAAGGAAGCAGAAGGATAAGGTTTTAGCACCTTCCTTTTAATCATGATAGTTGATCTAAGGATTGTAAAGCTAAGATCTCTCACCCCACAGGTCTCCTATGATCAATGGTCTGGATCTATTCTCCATAAGGATGGCTAACCCTAGAAACCCTAACCCTAAGACGAAGTCTATAAATACTCATATTTATCTCTCTCTAAATACCCTAACCCTAAGAGGAAGTCGCTACACATGACATATCTCTCTCTCTCCCTCACAAGGTGGCAGGCCACACTATCTCTCTGATCTCTCATCTCTCTCTAGCATACCAAAAGTTAGAAAAACATTTTGAGAAAGAAAGAGGGCCACGCCCAAGCCCTCAGAAAGCCTAAAGGGAGCACACTCCATAACAAGCTTCAAGCCTTGATTTGTTTCACCTTTGCTCTCTGATTTGGAAGGGTATTGGCTAGGCTTTCTATACTTTGAAGATCTGAGATAGACCTTGATCCTATGCGTCATCAAAGAGGAGTCCCGGAGTGGGGTGTGTAAAGTCCAGTTGAGGTAATTTTCTAGGAAGATTTATTTTATGTTATGCAGTTTGAGTTTTCTTGTTCCCAAGAGTTTTATGTAATTTTTTTCTTATTGAATAAAAGAATTTTTATTAGTGGCAGCAAGTGAGAACCTATTTTTCCATTCATTTTTGTTTATTTCAAGTTCATTTTATTGTGTTTGGACCTCTGTAAGTGTTCTAGCCGATAGAAAAGAGAAAAACTAAAATCCGCATATACCGTGCTAGTTCACCTTGTCCAATTTTCAAGGGTAACATTGGTGAGCGTAATATGCCCTTTGATAGAGAGGAAATGGCCTTTCCGAAGAGCTAATTTTCTTTGAAACCGTTTGACAGGGGTCCAAAAAGCATTACGAGCTTTGCCAAGCCACAAAGGGAGACCAAGGTATTTGGGGGGAAGGGCCGACCCCACATCCTAATCTAGAGGCAAGCTCAAGAAGGGTATCAGAAGGAACACCAACACTCGAGAGCTTGGATTATCAAAGTTGACTTTCAAACCAGTCAAAATCCCAAAGCAACGAAGGAAGAGCCATAGGTTATTAACTATTATGGAAGAGGCATCACAAAAGATTAGAGTGTCGTTTGCATATTGAAGGTCAAAGATAGGGGTTTATGAGCAAAAAGATCTAAAACCAAATAGGCGGCCAGCAAAGTAGAGGCGAGAGAGTGATTTACTGAAGACTTCAGCAATGATGGCATGATGAAAGGACCACGAACTAGGGAGCTAATGTGGAGAAAGGATGAGGTGGAAAAGAAACAACAAGGAATCAAATCACGCCATTTAACTCCAAAACCCATGCGATCGAGGACCCAAAGGAGGTTACCACAATTGACGCAACTCTAAGCCTTTTCTCGATCCAGTTTGAGAATGAGGTTGGGGGAGTAGGAGAGTTGACGGTAGTGGATGAGTTCATAAACAATGAGGGCACCAACAAGGATTTGCTTATTAGGGATAACGCCACTCTGGGACTCTGGGAGGGAGAGATGATAGAGGGGAGGACGGAGATGAGGGGACAAGCAAGGACCTTGGTAAGGATCTTGTACAAGGAATTCAGAAAGTTGATGAACAAAAGTCCTAGATGTCACTACCCCCCTCTTTTTTGGGGATGAAAGCAATAAAGGTAGCGCTCATATCATTGTTCATGATCCCACAATGGAAGTATTCAAAAGTAAAAGCAAGGAAATCAAGGGATATAGTGTCCCAAAACCTACGAGATAGGGAAGCAGTCTGGCTCAGAAGCCCGGTATTTGCCAAGGGAAGTGATGGCCATATGAAATTCATCAACATGGAAAGGTCTCTAAATCCAAGAGGCTTGAACCGGGGAGATGGATGAGACGGAAAGATTGGTCAAAGAGGGGCGAGGGCCAAGTTGGAGGGAGAAGAGAGTTAGGAAATGGGAAATTAATGATGTGGCAATGTCAACGAGATTAGAAAAAGAAAGGTGGCCAATAGATATGGAGTTACCGAAATGGGGCCTATGTCTAGAGCTAGTGATTTTGTGGAAGAACTTTGTGCTTTTGTCACCCGTGGAGAGCCACTTGACTTTAAAGCATTGTGCTGAAAAGATTTCTTCCTTTTTGAGGTGTAAAAGGCTAAACTTGAGGTCTATCCTGGAGGAGGACCCCAAAAGAGAGGTGGGGAGAATCCTAAAGGGAATCAAGGGCCTAGATATCTAATTAATATAAATGTACAAGGAAATTAGCAGACTAGTATAAAGGTACTTGACTACAAAAATTAATCATTTCAAGTTCATCCAGCAAATTAATGTCATGTAACCCATGTTATTGTAAAGTATCCTCAGTAAGATTATATAGGCTTTCGACCACTGCCCTATCCTCCTGGACACTCTAGCAGTTCCTAGGGGCCTCAAACCTTTTAGGTTTGAACTCCCCTGGCTCGAAGAAGAAGCTCCATTCCGGCCTAGTGGAACTCCTTCTCAACCCAAGTCTCGGGCAAAGCTAGCTTTAGGCTGCAAAAAGATCCAATTACTTAAAGCCTGCCTTAAAACTCGGAGTTCCTCTCTTCCAGGAAATTTCTCTCATACTAAGCAAATTCAGTTGAACGCCATCCAAGCCTTAGATCTGATTGAGGAATCGAGGCCTTTATCGACCTCCGAGGCCAACCTAAGGTCAAAATCGAAGTTGGACTACTTCTCTACTTTGAAAAAAGAAGAGTTGTACTGGTACCAAAGATCCAGAGTTACTTGGCTTAAATCAGGGGACCAAAACACTGGCTTCTTCCACAAGATAGCAAACTATCGTACATGAGATAACTCCATCTCCACTATTAAGGAAGGTAATATGATCCTGAACAATGCCTCGGACATCAAACGAGCCATCCTAACTTTCTTTCAAAATCTCTACTCAGCCCGTTCGAATCCTAGACCTAGTATGGGCAACCTTCCTTTCAGATCTCTCCCCTCTCATTGGGTTGATTGGTAGGAATGCCCTTTCTCTGAGTTTGAAATCTTTAAAGAATTGGAGGACCTAGGTAAAGACAAGGCCCCCGGCCCAGACAGGTTCCCAATCGCCCCTTTTAAAGTTTTCTGGGATACCTTTAAGAATGACTTTCTTCTCTTCTTCGAGGAATTTTTCCAACATGGAAGACTCCATAAAGCCATCAACGCAACCTTCATTGCGCTTGTACCTAAGATAGGAGGGGCAGAGGAATTGAAGGATTTCCGATCCATAAGTCTGGTCAATTCCTCATATAAAATTATGTCCAAAGTCTTGGTCTCCAGGCTCAAACAGGTTCTTCCTCTTGTCATATCCTCCTCACAATCCGCCTTCATCAAGGATCAGCAAATACTAGACGAAGTGTTGGTGGTTCATGAGGGCTTACACTCTCGCCACCACAGTAAAAAACCGGGCTTAATCTTTAAGATAGACTGGGAGAAGGTGTATAACCACGTGGATTGGCCCATCTCAACCAAACCTTGTCTAGGATGGGGTTTGGTGAGCGCTGGAAGAAGTGGATGAGGGGTTGCTACTCCAAACCTTTTTTCTCAGTCCTCATCAACGGGTCACCGAAAGGGTACTTCTCATCTTCAAAGGGCATTCGCCAAGGAGACCCTCTCTCTGCTTTTCTCTTCGTCGTTGTTGCGGAAGTCTTTAGCCAATCTATCTCTTGCATGTATCAGGTCGGACTACTCTCTGGATTCAAAAGTAGTAGAAATGGCCCATGCGTATCCCATCTGCAGTACGCAGACTAGTTTTCTTGGATGCAGTATCGGAGGAAATCGAAAACCTTAGGTTGTTCTTGATTTGCTTTGAGTAAGCCACGGGATTCAAAGTAAACATGGCTAAGTCTAAATTGATAAGTCTAGGCCTATCTAATCTCCAAACCAGAAACCTCATCCCAGGCTGGGAATGCTCAGTGGAGGACCTACCCATGTCGTATCTTGGCTTGCCTCTGGGGCTGGGGCAACCAAAGAAAGCTCAATGGGCTCATGTAATCGATAGAGTAGACCGAAGGTTGGCAAGAAGGAAAGGCAGATACTTATCCTTCGCAAGGAGAACTACGCTTATCAAAGCAACCCTACCCAACTCCCCAGTTTACCTGATGTCCTTATTCCACATGCCAGCCTCGGTTGCTAAGCGCCTAGACCAACTGATGAGGAACTTCCTCTGGTCAGATGATGCTGCATCAAATAAGATCCACCTCATCTCACGGGACAAAGTCTGTCTCTCGAAACATCAGGGAGGTATTGGGATCAGAGTTCTAAGGAAACACAACCTCGTGCTCCTAGGTAAATGGTGGTGAAGACTGGCCACCTAGAACAGCCAGCTTTGGGCCCAAGTTATCCATTGCAAATACAGCATCCCACCAGATCATTGGCTGCCTGAGGACAATCCAACAACCAGAGGCTCAGGTACCTGGAAATCTTTGCTCTCCTCCCTCCACCTAGTCAAACACTTATATGTTTTCATGCTAGAGGAGGGGCTAGAGTGAGCTTTTGGTCTGATCTCAGGTTAGGCCACACCCGGCTAAGAGATCCCTTCCCTTCTCTCTACTCCGTGGCAGTTAAAAAAGCCTCTCTGGTCTCAGAGGAAATGGTTCTCTTTGATACGTAGGGTTTGAAATCCATCCTTTAGGTGATCTCTCACAGAAGAAGAAACCATGGATTTCATGTCTCTCTCGGCATCCCTCCACTCCACTTTTCTTGCTATTTCAGGGACAGACACAATGGTCTGGACTCCCTCGCCCACCGGCTCTTTTACGGTGGCCTCTTTCTATAAGAGACTGTTGCAGCCTATGTTCCCCCTCAACCCGAACCCTGTATTATCCAAAATGTGGTCCTCCATCGCACCTCCAAAAGTGCAAGCCTTTCACCGGATCGCTTGCTCTGAACGTGCTCCTACCGTCAGCTTACTCCAAACAAGAGGTATCTAAACTCCCAATAGGTGCATCATGTGCCTTTGCGAGGAAGGAACGAACCCTCACTTGTTCATTCATTGTCAGCTTGCCCTTCAACTCTGGAGTCATATTATCCAACTCTTTGGAGTATCTTGGGTTACCCCTCCTTCTATTCTGACGTTGACATCCTGCTCTTTCGATCTCATTGGCCGAAGTCGGGCAGAATCCTTTGGAAAGCCTCTTTAGCTGCAACATTATGGACAATTTGGCTCGAAAGAAATTCAAGAATTTTATGGAACCAAAAGCGAACTCCCAGCTTTATTTCATAAGGTTGCTTCACTGGTAATCTTTTGGGCATCCAATCACAGACTTTTCACCGAGACTTCAGCTGCCACTTTCCTTTGCGACTAGGAGAATCTTATTCACGTCGCTCCTCATCACACCTCAAGAGCATCCAACTGGACGACTCCCCCGGTGGGATCCATTAAACTAAATTTTGATGGATGCTCCTTGGGAAACCCAGGCTCAGTTGGAGTTGGAGGGGTTTTCCGCAACCATAATGGCAATATTCCCACGCCTTACTTAGAACACCTTGGCCTCGTAGACTCACAGTTTGCAGAGGCTACAGCCCTGTTGATGGGCATCAAGAAATACAACCTTTCCTGAGGTTCACAGTTGCACATTGAGGGAGATGCCAAAAACATTATGTCCTGGGCCTCTAGAAAGGCCTCTCCTCCTCGATACCTAGCCCACATTTTTTACGAGATTGAGCATAATTGCAGGGTTAAATCTGAATGCATATCTGGAGGACGTTGAACTACTTCGCAGATCGTCTTGCTATGGAAGCCACTCGGAATCAACCTTTAGCCCCCGTTTAGCCGCGACTTAGATGCATTCCTAAGTTTGGTCATAGGTCCATCTCTTTTTTTGCTCTGGACCTCTTTTGCACAGCCTTCTCTTTTGTAAATGGGCGTATTCTATAAGCCCCTCTCTCTGGACAGCTCCTAATTTTTGCTTCTCAGGTGTTGTTTTAGCTCGACCTTTTTGTATAGGCCCACTTCTTAATGACCATTTTTTGGTTGAGAGACCCGGTCTGTAGGTCCTCTCGACCCATACTTTTGTACACCTTTGATTATAATATTAACCGTTAACATTCTCAAAAAAGAAAAAACGATTATAGGCTTAAATAAAAATGAATAAATCCAATGCATTTTCAAAGTTCAGAGGTTCCGAAGCAAATATAAAGAGTACCCTCACTATCAGCATCCCATCCAAGTTCCTTGCACCACCAGGAATACTATCCCCCATTTTCTTCTCAAGAGGTTTGGCTTCACCAGTCAAATGCTCAACTGTGATTGTTGATCTTCCACGAGAAACTTCTCCATCTACTGGAACAGTCTGACCATATTACAGAGAAGAAACTGTAAAACTATGAGGATATCAACAAAAATAATAATAATAATAATTTGAGACATGGATCTTAAGGAAAATAGTCCTAAACAGAGAAAGAATAAATGTGCATAGGTGTGATACAATCTGAAAAAGCATCTCATAAGTCATAACCTAGCGGTTGGACTAATGACCACATTCAAAGCATAAGCCAGGGATCATAGCATATACAGAAATCAGAATGACATATCAAAACTCACAAGACTTCCAATTTTGAATAATATGGATATCTAGAGACCTATCTTCCACACAAACAAACTTGGTTGGACACCTCCCAATCACGCTAATGGTATAAAGCTCCATAACAACAACCACATAAAGCTACTCGATCTCAACATCAAACGTGAGGACACGAAGAAGAATGTGAAAAAAGAATAGATTCTATTAGAAACAAGGAGTCATGTGCGGACCTCACCAGCTCTGACAAGGATGTAAGCCCCCATATCCACATTATGCACTGGGATTCTTTTGTATGACAATGAGGAGAAATGAGGAGGCACGTCAACAGATTCCAATACAAGAGCAAAATCAGGATGGCTCTCCTTCAATTCCTTAACATCATTCATAGCCCGACTTGTAAAATACTCTTCCGCTGTATACATAATGCTTCAGAAAATTACGGGGTCAAGCAGGAAAAGTTTATCTTATTCTAGGGGAAATGCTCGAAAAAGGGTAAACTTTTTGTAGTTGAGCAATGATTATTACCAATATGTGCAAGATTGAACATTGCAAGAAGTAGAGCTCCTTCCAAAGAGTTTCCCATGAATACGGATGCAAAGGCTGCCAATGCCATGAGGACATGGATGTTCACCCTCCCGCCAGCAAGATCCACAACTGCATCAAGGGCTGATGAAACCTAAAAGAAATTACACAGAGAAATTATAGAGATTACAAAGAATGAAATAATCATAATAACCACGAAAACCATATCAATCAAGAAAACATAATTATATCATTTAATAGACGAGGGAAATTAGAATACAAAAATTTCCTCGAAACGTCAAATGCAAAAGAAATTTTTTTCGCTCCACTAGCGAGGGTTTGTGTGGAACCCCACCCATTGTATTAATTTGTATGAAATCAACTGTACATAAGGAGTAATTCTGTGTATGATATAATATTTACAATGAACCTCGCAACAAGTTTCTCTATATACGTGTATATATACAATGACCGCACCACATTTGCTCTATCTCACACAATGTCCATTGGGAGTTTGTATTATCCATCTTTCATATATGACTTTTTCTCTTGCAATTATTGAAGATTACCTTTCTTGCAGACAGTGTTACATGTCACAGACATGGTGTCATGTCTAGTACGTGTCTTGAGTGTCCAGTACTTAAGTCTAAAAACCCAGTAGTGCCCTGACACCTCCATATATATATATATATATATATATATATATGGGTAGTGATTTCATGTCACCATGTCATTGTAATATAATGAAACCACACTTCTAAAAAATCATGTTTGTGGCATTATTATGACCCCAAAAATTGCACACACCCTCTCTTCATCCTAATAACCAATCACCCAAAAAAATAAAATTCAATTTGCACCCTAGATGTGGTCAAAATGGGTAACCTTCCAACAATGAATCTAGACCATTCATTTCATGAATTTTAAGATCTAGGCCTTTACAAACTCAAAATCATTTTTCTTTTTGACATTGGTCATCTAGTGAAAATAAAGCCATCTAAAAAATTTGGAAAGGGAAAAATATTCCATTCAAGACCTATATCTAAGCATCTGACAAAAATGGATGGCTTATGTTAATGGGGCTAAAACCACATTTTAGGGTGTGTTTTCAAATTGTTCTTTTTTTGTGATTGTTCATTGGAATGAAAAGAGTTTATATTTAAAAATTAAGGTCAAAGAACCCTAAGATGGTTTTTGAAGATTGTTTGATTACATTACCATACAAACGTTGCATGAAATCATTCCTATATATATATATATATATATATATAAAAGAAAGGTAAGAAAGATAGTTGTTTCTGTATAATATTTTCAAAACAACTCTTTTAAAAATTTCTATTAGGCCATTTTTTTAATTAAGGTGTTTTTTTTATGTCAAATAACTAAGTCATAGTAAATAACTACATCTATTATATAATTAATCCATCACCAATAGTAGGCATCTATGTTGGCTTTACTTGATGGTGGCCCTTCCCATTCATTACCAATAGTAGGAATCTATGTTAGTTTGCTTTACAGTGGCGATTACCATTAATTATCAATATGTTAACAGCTCAAGCCTTGATGTTGATGGTGGTATGTGCTTTTAAACTTCAAATAAAAAAAGGGGGGGGGGGGGGGGGGTTGGTTGGGGTACATTGACTAAGACAATGATGTTTCTCAAAAATGCTTTAGAAAAAAGTACTCCTCAAGATTGGAGACATTTTTATGAAACACATTATAAAAAAGTTTCCCTTGGGACTGGAGATGGTAACTTTTTGAGGTTGAAGAGGCCACTCTACAGCTAAGGACCTCAAGCTTCTTAAGATTAAAATGCATGACACTTTAATCTAAAGTGTACCAACTAAAAATTTAACAAAATACCGGATACAGATGATCATCGTCTTAAACCCGTGTCGACACATGTCAGAGAGTGTCAACACGTATCGATACACGACCCCAACCATTATGTCCATTGTCTAGGTGATACTACTTTCGGAATGCAATTTCAAATTTTCCATGTCATCTCCCTCAGTGTCCCTTGAATGGTATGATGATGATCTTCCTTTGCCCGCAGGTTTCTTTCTTGCAATATGACACAAATCAGAGTGGGGCGAGTGGCTTTCCTACACTTATCTAGGAATTTGCCCTGAAGTTTTTCTAGAACCAATTTGTTAGAAGGTTTTGGATGTTTAAGCGAGCTTTGGCTCCAATTTTAAACCACAATGTGGTTGCTTTCTTAATCACGCACACAAAGGCTACCCATACAAACCAGCTTTACATAAGAAGCATCTAATGCAACCAATGTAACCCCGGCACTCTATCAGTGATTGCCAACCTTTTTTTATAAGCTGTCCATGCAAACCATGAGGCCTTAGGTGTGGTACATGGGTACCAACACAGGTGTCAATATCTACTACACATCAAGGTGTTTAGTAAGTGAGGCCAAAAGCCAGTACTTTCCGATCGGTCTATAAAATTCTTATTTATGAATTATTCATTCTATGTAGAATACATGAGAAAATTCAAAATATTAGAGACAATTATGAATGCAAGAAAATGAGGGAGGTTTATACATTTTGATATAAGACAACTTCATGTAAAAAATTTATATAATGGAAATTTATTTATCATAGTGTTTGGTTAATAAAATGCTCTTGTGATCTTACGATATAAATGGATTTTCATGACATTAGGGCATCACATTAGGTCCATGGTTTGACTTTTTAAGCCATGGTGTTACTACTTTCTTTTTTTTTGAAATGTTAACGATTGTATTGCTGTCGAGAGAAATTACAGTGTAGTAAACTTCCAAGAGACCCCTCTAGACGGGACTCTCGGAAGACATCCGGTCAGCAAACCCTTGACAAAAAATGGTTTATAAGATTACCCCCTTACAAACAGTTAAAAAAGAAGGTGGCAGGGGAAGGGCTTATAAAAATGATCATCCACATATTGGCCAACCACAACGAGAAATACATGGCAGAAAGAAAGAAGAGAAACCCAAAACTTAGGCTGAGGTCCACTGGTCCAGATCAAAAAAGGAGGTGGACAAAGTTTGGGCGGCCTAGCCCCCACTTCTAGCGGCATTCTTCGCCAGCCGATCCACTGTATCGTTGGACGTCCTCCAAGTATGCTGTCACAAGACGTTCATAGCCTTGCAAATGTGTTGAACCTCATCAAAAACTGAGGACAAAAACCAAGGTGGATCACACGTTCTGCTAGCCCAAGAGAACATTTTCTGGAGTCGCCTTCCACTATCAGAGTAGTACCCCAGGAAGGGTTGAATTTTTCAAAGCTATAAGGAGGGCTAGTGCTTCGGCATGGAGAGAGTCCTTTAAGCCCAGGAATTGAGAGATAGAGAGGAGTATATTGCCTTCATGTTCTCGATAAACTCCTCCTGCCCCTGCTGGACCTGGGTTCCCCAAGGAGCAACCATCAAAGTTTAGTTTGATGCTAGGTGATAGCCAGATGCTTGACCTACTAACCCCTTGTGGTTGGTGATGAAGGATGTCTCCCCAATGGGTGAGGAAGAAAGTCCGTGGAATTCCGGCGAAGAAATTATGATTAGAAGCCCAGAAAGTAACCAGGGTGGTTACCTTGGACAAGAGTGCCAAAGTTTGAAGTTTAGAGCCTCGGAATAATCTGGAATTTCTTTCCAGCCACACAACCCAAATTGTAGCCACTACAATCGCCTTCCACAGGATTCGACTTGCCTTAGACCAGCAAGAATCAAAATTGCAGGTTAGGAGGCTTTTACCGAGGGGGGGTAACCCAATGTATACCAAAAAGTTGCAATACCCTACCCCATAGGTCATAAGAGAATTCACAAAGGAACATGTGCTGGTTACTTTCCTCCTCACATTCACACAGAGCACATCTATTTGGGATGGGGAGCCCTCTTTTTTGTAGGTTATCCACTGTGAGGACTCTATGAGAGAAAGCAAGCCAGTGGAAGGTCTGCACTTTTGGAGGAGCAATAGTAAACCAAATTTTAGAGAAGGGCTCATGGGAGATAGGTGAGAGTGTGAGGCTTTAATAGAAAGAAGCAACTGAGAACTTACCCGAGTGAGACAGGGTCCAAACAAGTTCATCTCTTCCATGGGAGAGGAGAAAGAGGGAATGGAGGGTATGCGAGAGCCGCTGGAAATCATAAGTTTCCTGTGCAGTTAGGTTCCTTCTAAAAGAGGGATTCCAAACTCTGCACCATCCCAAGCAACAGAGCTCCTGGGCAATTGAAGACTCCTGGTCTCATGCAAGAGAGAAAAGGAATGGGAAGACGTCACAAAGAGGGGAGGGGCCTAACCAAAGGTCCTGCCAAAATTTTACCCTACAGCCTTCTCTTGGATGGAACCTAGTATGGCTCTTGAAAGTGACCAGCACTGTTAAAAGAGACTTCCAGACTCCTGACCCATTAGGCCTTTGCGGTGTTCCTGGCACCAGGTATGTATAGGGATATTGTACTTATGCTTAACCACCTGAGCCCAGAGTGCATTTGGCTAATGACCCATTATGCCTTTGCGGTGTTCCTGGCAGCCAGGAATGTCTAGGGATATTGTACTTATGCTTAACCACCTGAGCCCAGAGTGCATTTGGCTAAGTACCAAAACGCCACCACCATTTTCCGAGAAGGGCGACGTTGTGTTTACGAATGACCTTAATCCCCAAGCCACCCTTGTCTTTAGGTTGGCAGACCTTATCCCAGGCTACAAGATGAAAGTTTTTTTTATCTTCCTGGCCAGGCCATACAAAATTCCTCGAGTTGGTTGAGTCGATTGGCCACCTGCATCGGCATATGGAAAAGCGACATTAAGTAGATTCGGGAGTTAGCTATGGTTGCTTTAATCAAAGGTGTTTTTGCCCGCCATTGACAGGAATCTGTTCTTCCATCCTGCCAGGCGACGATCAACCTTGTCAAGGACCGAGGACCATTGCTGCTTTCTAGGCTTACCAACGCCCGGGGGGAGCCCAAGAAAAGTGGTAGGGAGGACCTGGACTTTACATTCCCAATCAAGAATGAGAGTTCTAATATCTTCAGTTGACAAGTCAACCCCCAACATATTGGATTTATCCATATTTATCTTAAACCCAATCGCCGATTGGAAGCAACGAAGGAATCTTTTGAGGGTGTTGACTTCCGTTCGGGTGGCATCCAGGAATACCAGGGTGTCATCC